ATAGACATACTAGTCAGGAAAAATATTTTGATGAGATTTTCTCAATATAGCCCCATCTCCAAATGCAAAACAAGATAACATAAGGACACTTAGCTATACACCTTAAGCCCTAGTTTTACCGAACAATTCACTTTAAAAGTACCACCATTGTACTGTATACTTTTCCAAATTTCAAAACTCTAAAGAAAGATGAAACTATATGGTCAACTATATGGTGAAACTGCAGAATAAAGTAGTTAAGAGGAAACAAAATAGTTATTAAAGGATTATTGCACATACAATTTTTCTCCCCCTTAAAAAAAAAAGCACTCCAAGAAGGGAAAAAAGTTTCGAAATAATTAGGATGATTTCTAATACAAACAACATCAGGAACAGAATAGTATATTGGATGCAGGAAGGCTAGAGGAGGAGAAGAAATAGATGGCTCAAGGGAATTGGTAATAGGATATAGAGCCTTTCATCTTCAGTTCACAGGTTAAAATCCAGCCCAAGCTGGCAGTGACCAAAACTGGTTACTATACAGTGGCTGTTCAGTAACCAGTGTGAAATGAATTGGTGGTCAAAATCCAGTCTCAACCAGACAAGTGTTCAGTATCATAAGCTGACAGACAGACTCAGCAGAGAGGTCAAAGTAAAAACCTTCACAGCCCCAGAAGCATTTCCTTCTGGTCAGGTTTGAGACATCTATGCACGACAGCACAAGGGAGCACTGCTACTGCTGTACTAGTTTTATGGACAGAGGACCTGAGTTTCCAATGCATCAATCCCAGCACCGATTACTACTTTTTTATTTTTTTGATGGGGGAAGAGAGAACAGAAGAAAAAAAGTGAACATACCCTTTCTATACAGAGGAAGGAAGTGAAACAAAGATATCCTCCGGTATTAAAAACAAGTTAAAGAGAGTCTTAATATACGTTTAACACAAAAATTAAATGATAAACAATAGTTATGGTTTTTACTTAAAATGATAAAAGCCAAGGAATAATTTCAAAAAGAAGGAAGGTAAACTACCAGCCAGTATAGTCCCTACCCCTACTTCCAATGTTTAGGCATTACTGTACATAATGTATGGTCACAGACTCAAAACACTGGGAAATACTTCTGAACTGGCCAATTATTTGTTTGTGGTGTACATGGCAAACTGTAAAAATAGGCAAAGTTACTGTAGATTAATATTTAAATAAATATTTATATTATATTCAAATAGCTCCTCTATCTCCGAAAACAGGGCAAATGAGACATGTCATGAATAGTTCCTTTAAGACACAGTGTTACTGCTTCCAAACAAGTAGCTAGATAGTGAAGTGATGGGTGGTCTTCAAGGCCTGAATCTGGCAAATGCTTAGGCATGTGCTTATCTTTAATATCATGAGTAGTCTCGTTTATTTCAATAGTTATTTTGATTTCAGTGGGATTACTCTCTGTAATTGTTAACCAGGTACAGAAGTGTTTGCAAGAATGGGCCTAAATGATGAAGGCATGAATAAATGTACTAGATAGCTCATAAGGGTTAAGTAAGTTCATTATTTTAGTATAGAGTTATTGTACCTATTTAGAGAATTGTGTGTGTTTTTCACTATTTTATTACACTAGAAAAATATAAAAAAATCCAGAAAATACTAGGACAGTACAAAGAAGAACAGGAGTACTTGTGGCACCTTAGTGACTAACAAATTTATTAGAGCATAAGCTTTCGTGGACTACAGCCTCTAATAAATTTGTTAGTCACTAAGGTGCCACAAGTACTCCTGTTCTTGTTAGGACAGTACAGTTTTTATTAGTAGCATGTTCAAAAAAAGTTATCAAGAGCTTTGGTCAGCAAAAACAGCACTTAAAATTTTAGATTAAAAAACCCTTTATAATCTCCAAAGAATTGCTGGAGGTTGGGTTTGTTTTTGTTTTTTAAGTAAAAAAGTAAGGCAAAATAATAAAAAATGTCTGTATTAATATAATCTTAAAATGTGATTTCATCAAATCTCAAAAGGTAAGCAAAGTCAGCCAAGCCAACACTTGGGTGGGAACCAACCACAGAACATAGAGGTGCTGCAGACGTAATTTTAGGCCTTGGCTACACTTGGGGATTCACAGCGCTGCCGTGGAGTGCTGCGAGAGCTGTCTCGCAGCGCTGTAAGTACTCCACCTCTCTGAGGGGAGTAGCTTGCAGCGCTGCGAGGGAGCTGCAGGCGCTGATTACACTGGCACTTTACAGCGCTGCACTCGCTGCGCTTGGGGGGGGGGAGGCGTTTTCACACCCCTGAGCGCAGCAAGTTGCAGCGCTGTACAGCGCCAGTGTAGCCAAGGCCTTAGTGATTTAACTCTTTGTCAGTGTTTAAACAGTTCTTTAACATGGTTTCAGGAAATAACAGAATGCTGGAGTATCCTAGACAAATTCCAAGTCAGGAAATTAAATATGGCCAACGTAAATGTTTCCTGTAGTTTCTATTAGATTCTCCTTCATTTCTTGTTCTAATCTTTTGTGAAATATTGATACAGGAATTATAAATAGAAAAAACACCTCTTAGTTCATCTACTTCATCCCCAGGATTAGGGCAGACAAAATGTTGGTGCACACTGTTATTGTCCAGTTTAGCAGTGAATTAAATTATACCTGTGCAATAAACTGTATACCCGTAAATCCTATTTCAATATAGGAAATTATTACTGTTTTTACAAAAATTATAATTCCTTTTGAGTAGTTGACATCAACAAATTCATATTATATTTAATAAAATACTATAATGAAACAGCATTGAAGCTTAAGGGATTTCCCCTAAACTTACAATAAAATCAAATTTGAAGGCTCCGTTGCCCACAATTACAAGTTGCTGTAGAAATATCATTGATGTGTTACAGAAATGTTAAGTTAGGAATAGGTTGTAATAGCAAATATTGTAGCTAGGAAAATCCTGTTTTCATAAACATATATTTATTAATAATAGCTGATTGGACCAAAATCAAAATCTAAGATGTATAAAGTCATTTTGCATCTAAAACAGAATATTTTTCGGAGTTTTCTATTAGAGATAAAGATGGCTATTCAATAGCTTGAATAAAATGGCCTGGTGGTCTCAGAACAGCTTCTCGTGAACAGATATTACAAATAAATATCGCTCTACTACTTTACTGGCAGTATCAATGGAGACAATCACAGAGATTAAACTACCTCTCTTACTCTTACTGATGATCTCCATATCTGAGGAACATTTGTAGGTAGAATGGAGAAGCTTGCTTTATCAAAATATGTATGGTACATATTCAGTGGATAAACACTTAATTCTCAGGACCACCAATGTAGCATCTTTCAACAGCATCAAAATTAGGTCCCACCCCGCAATCATATCCAAGTGGGAGGACCCTTGTGTCAGGAAGTGCTCCATGTACTTCAGTAGGAATGTGTGTAGAAACAAGGGTATTAGTAGATCAGACTGCAGAATCTAGGCCTTAATAACAACTAGGTGTTTGTTTTTTTTAATAAATTGTTCCATGAAACTTGGTTTATTATATAAGGAAAGACAAAGTGCAACTCTTCTGTTATCAGCTAATGCTGTTATGCAGCATTAGTACGAGATGGAATATTTTCAAGATGCATTCGTCAACATATCTAAGAAAACTAAACTGGCAGAACTTCCTCCTCTCTACTAGATAACAGCATCTCTAAGGGTAACATTTTAAAAGCAACCAAGATATTTAATAACTCAAACCTCATTACCAGAGTATTTTAGGCACTTAGAAATCCAAGATCTGTTGGCTTTTAGCAAGACTTGGGCTCCTAAGTGACTTTTGAAAAAGGTACTGAGGCTTCTAAAGTCATTTCTGTGCTTTTGAAAATATTATATAAATAGTTCTAGGTGAGAGAGAGAGAGAGAATGTTAGGGAGGGAATATTTAAACACATAAATTGCACTTTATTATTTGAGTTGAAAATAAATCTATGAATACTCTTTTCAAGTAAATTGGAATATTAATTTATTGATGTCTTGTAACGCTGCATGGCACTAAGTCTGAAGCTTAACATCTAGAAGTAGAAGGTTAACCATGGCTCCAGTCATTATTTCAAAGATAGCATAAGAAGAGGAGCAAAAATAACTATATTTATTCAAGGCTACTGGATAGATTTATGGAAAAGCTGAATTTAAATACCAGGAAATTACAAAGCCTTCTGTTGTTCAGCTCACAAACACATATCCAATTACCATCAGAGAAATCTCTCCCGTCCTTATAACTAAATTTTTCATATTTTTTTTTAATTCAGCCCTACTCTGTTGAATTGCAGCAAGGTGATCTAGTTAACCATGTCCTTGGTAGCGCATGAACTGTCTGAACTTTACTCAGACGGGGGAAAAAATGAAGGATTAGTATTTGGTTTTCCTCCCAGTTTTACAACAATTAATTCACTTGGAAATTCCATGGGATAATTATTGAAATAATTTGTTTATAAATGGAACACTAGCCATTCCCCAAACGTGACTTAAAAGCAAAACTGGACCAGACCAACCTTGTATGGCTATTTCAGACACATACAGTACATGTCCATGAGCATTTAGGAGACAACAGCTCTAGTTTACCGTTTTTCAAAGAACATTTGACATTAAACTACTTGTAAATAAATACAGAGATAGGTTTTGGTCAAGAAATTTTAGTGCTGCTTTTGCTAAATACACAATTGCTTTTTTAAACAAATGACCGTTAAAGTAGTTTGCTCCCTCTTTTTTTCCTCCTTCTTCTTCTTTATAGAGAAACACACACAAAATGTCACAGAATTTAACGGGACAATATTTATAGCACAAATCTGTGATTGTGAAGCTGATCATTCAGAAAGAGAAAAGTTTGATTACCCAGACAGCTAATGACCTAAATTCTGGGATTCCATGAAATAACAGATATTGCAAATAAAACAGCTTTCCTCTGGTTTGTACCAGTATTCATATTTGTTGTTTATACACTTTCCTTAATCATATATTTTAACCAAATTAGTTTCGGGATAAACGGAGAGTACTCACGTGATATAATACTGTCAATATATTGTGGTAAATATGGAGCCCAAGCATCAATTGTTTCTTTCCGCCCTGCCTGTTCAATTCTTCTCAATTCTGCTAACAGTAAGGCCTGGGCAGCTTCCCTTACCTACAGAGGGAACCAGAATGTCATACAAACTCAACTCTCAAATAAGATTTACAAATATTTTAAAAAAGTAATGGTAAAGTTGTCCAGCCATTACATTCTTACAATACAAACAACAGAGCTAAGCTAAAAAGATAAATTTACAAAACTCAGCACAGACATCACATACTTATGCCACCAAGTTACTGTTCAGTCCTTGCTTCCCCTAGCTGGGGCTGAGGTTGGGAAGGTCTGTGCAAGCCACATAGCTGATTTAACTACACCTTGCCTTCTGGAGGAAGAAGTATTAAGCTCCAGAGTAGCTACTTTTCCCTGCTAATGAAAAGATCAGCAATACAAGGAGGCCAAGTTAGGGAAGGGAGAACACAAGGGAGCTCACAACTAAGTCCTCAATTTACAGAGCATGATATTTAGCAACAGATCTAAGAAATTAGACCTTCTTTTCTGTGAAAGACGTTAAAGGAAAATTAATTTGGGACTTTCTATAACTACTTAGAGAGAGAATTCTATAAAATTCTCTTCTATACTTTCCCAAAATACTTTTCCAACTTCAACAACGTTAGAAAAAAAGTTAAAAAACACTTATTTTTTAAAAAGTCATTGTTTAAATATGCTTTTGCCCATTTAGTATATAATCTGGACAACTGAGCAATAGTAGTGGAGGAAATCCTTAGAAGATTTTCATGTTAAAAGAAAAAAATACTATAAAACCAACAAATACAAAATAATATTTTAAATGTAATTGGCAAAATTTCCATTCACAGATTTCAAAGCATTTAATAAAAGTAAGCATCACCATATACATTTACATATGGGGTATCTGAGAGACAGAAGTTAAGTGACTTGCCCAAGGTCAAAGAAGAAGTCACTGACAGAGCAGGGACTACACCCCTTACAGCTAATTCAAGTGTTCTAGCTACCAAACTTTGTGGCTGAGGAAAATTTCAGTTATCTTTGAAAGCGTTTGTGCTTTCTGGGAACATGAACATATTACATAATATCTTGTAATAGGACAACTACTCAGAAATATACAAATCTACTAGTGCTTTTGTACAAAGTATACTTCAGGCAGATAACACAAAGCATACACCAATTAAACTAAGAGACTGCTGAAATTCTACAGTTCTGTTCTTCATTTCTTTCTTTTAAAGCTGCACAATTAACTCCCTTCCCCCTCCCCCTCCCCATACACACAAACAGCATAGGTGTGATGCTAAGGTCAGCTAGTCATTTCTCAAATAGTAGGTGCCAACCCATTTTCTGACTATTGTAAATACATACCAAAAATTATAATAACTTAGCAGCCTCTTGATAGAAATTGAGTTGAAAACTTTGTCCTTAATGAGATTTTAAGCAGATTCCAGAAAATTCTAGATCTGAATGAATAAAACATAAATGTACTGTATATATTTGAAATATATATCAGAGGGGTAGCCACGTTAGTCTGGATCTGTAAAAAGCAACAGAGACTCCTGTGGCACCTTTAAAACTAACAGATGTATTGGAGCATAAGCTTTCGTGGGTGAATACCCACTTCGTCAGACGCATGTAATGGAACATTTATGTTTCCTGTTCATCATTGTAGGTTACTCAACAATTAAGAAAAAATACAGATGTTAAAATGTCAAAGGAATGTTTATAAATTAACCAGAAAATTAAACATAATATGCATGAAACTGTAGTATGTTTCATTTTTGAAACATAAAAAGATAGGGTGCAGTGAATATGTTCTCCCTGAACCTAAATACTGTTTTTAGGTCTCTGGGACATAATGAAAAAAATTATCTCTAACAGTTACATTTCCATAACTAAATGAAAAAAAATTAAATAAACATTAATAGTTTTTTTTAGCTTTCACTGACTTCTTGATGCATTGAAGAGCGCTTTCACTTAGAATCATAGAAGATTAGGATTGGAAAAGACTTCAGGAGGTCATCTAGTCTAACCCCCTGCTCAAAGCAGGACCAACCCCAACTAAATCATCCCAGACAGGGCTTTGTCAAGCGGGCCTTAAAAACCTCTAAGGATGGAGATTTCACAACCTCGATAGGTAACCCATTCCAATGCTTCACCACCCTCCTAGTGAAATAGTTTTTCCTAATATCCAACCTAGACCTCCCCCACTGCAGCTTGAGACCATTGCTCCTTGTTCTGTCATCTGCCACCACTGAGAACAGCTGAGCTCCATCCTCTTTGGAACCCCCCTTCAGGTAGTTGAAGGCTGCTATCAAATCCCCCCTCACTCTTCTCTTCTGCAGAGTAAATAAGCCCAGTTTCCTCAGCCTCTCCTCATAAATTATGTGCCCCAGCCCCCTAATCATTTTCGTTGCCCTCTGCTGGACTCTATCCAATTTGTCCACATCCTTTCTGTAGTGGGGAGCCCAAAACTGGACACAATACTAAAGATGTGGCCTCACCAGTGCCGAATAGAGGGGAATGTGATGGTACCTCCCATAAGGCTTTATGGAAACATGCTTAGAATGTGTTTTATGATACATATGCCATGTAACATATCTCTGTAAAGGTTATGATCTATTGAATGTATTAATCCTATTTGTATGCATGTATCATTTTTGTATTCGAAGTTATGAATGTTACGAGTGTACTGGCTTAATTTCTAAATAACCTTAGTAGAGCATTTGGTCAGTTCCTGGAGAAAGGAATGTGGAAATTAAGTACCTAATGGAGAAACACTTAAAGGACAATGGATCTTGGAATGCTCCAATCCACATAAGACATCTACTTGAGGACATTCAAGATAGCATGTAAACAATGGAAGCTACCTGTAAAAACTGTGAGTCATGCATGGACATATGATTTGCCCAGGTGACTCCAAAACTCCATCTTGGAGCTTGACTTTGCATAGGAGAGAGGAGGGGGTCTCCACCCACAAAAAGAAAGTACATTTAAGCCAGTGGGAGACCCCTCCATTTTGTGATCAGCTGACTAACGAGAAGAGCCATCATGAAGAATCCCCTAGCTACCACCTGAACTGGAACAAGAGCTGTACCAAGGGAAAGAATTGTGCCCAGGCCTGGAAGGTGTCCAGTCTGAGAAAAAAAAATTACTGAAGCATCTCTGAGGGTGAGATTATCTGTATTCAGTTTGATTAGACATAGATTTGCGCATTTTATTTTATTTTGCTTGGTGACTTACTTTGTTCTGTCTGTTATACTTGGAACCACTTAAATCCTAGTTTCTGTATTTAATAAAATCATTTTTTACTTATTAATTGACCCAGAATATGTATTAATACTTGGGGGAGCAAACAGCTGTGCATATCTCTCTATCAGTGTTATAGAGGGCAAACAATTTATGAGTTTACCCTTTATAGGCTTTATACAGGGTAAAACAGATTTATTTGGGTTTATACCCCATTGGGAGTTGGGCATCTGAGTGTTAAAGACAGGAACACTTCTGTTAGCTGCTTTCAGGTAAATCTGCAGCTTTGGGGCAAGTAATTCAGACCCTGGGTCTGTGTTGGAGCAGACGGGCGTCTCTGGCTCAGCAAAACAGGGTGCTGGAGTCCTGAGCTGGCAGGGAAAGCAGGGGTAGAAGTAGTCTTGGCACATCAGGTGGCAGCTCCCAAGAGGGTTTCTGTGATCCAACCCATCACAGGAATAATCACTTCCCTGGATCTGCTGGCCATGCTCCTACTAATGCAGCCCAATATGCCATTAGCCTCCTTGGTAACAAGGGCACACTATTGACTCATATCCAGCTTTTGGTCCACTGTAATCCCCAGGTCCTTTTCTGCAGAACTGACGTTTAGCCAGTCAGTCGGTCCCCAGCTTGTAGCCATGCATGGGATTCTTCCGTCCTAAGTACAGGACTCTGCACTTGTCCTTGTTGAAGCTCATTAGATATCTTTTGGCCCAATCCTCCAATTTATCTACGTCACTCTGGACCCTATCCCTCACCCCCCCCCCCCCCACAGCTTAGCATCATCCGCAAACATGCTGAGGGTGCAAACCATTCCATCATCATTAATGAAGACGGTGAACAAATTTGGCCCCAGAACAGACCCCTGGGGCACTCCGTTTGATACCGGCTACCAACTAGATATTGAACCGTTGATCACTACCCATTGAGCCCAACAATCTAGCTGACTTTCTATCCAACTTATAGTCCATTCATCCAATCCATACTTTTTTAACTTGCTGGCAAAAATACTGTGGGAGACTGTATCAAAAGCTTTCTCCATATCCACAGAGCCAGTTATCTCATCGTTTTATTTCATTTTATTTTGCTTATTTTATTAAATAAAAGAGAAGGCCTATAAACTGCTTGGAATTTGGCTACTCCAAATGAATTTGTTAAAATGGTCTGTAGATTAGGGAAAGGGGGGTTTTCTACTGCCAACTAAAATTACTTACAGGTATTTTAGTGGAACAATGATGACATCCAGTGGCCAATTACATAAACCACAGATTCATATTTCTCTTGATAAAGTTCTACAGTTCTAGCTCCCTATTTAAATCCAAAATTCTGGTTTAAAATACAGAGAGGCCATGTATCTGTTTAAAAGATGACCTGCTATTTAAAAATATACTAACCATTATCCAATTTCACAGCTTACAATTTTTTTTAGAACCTAAATTCTTTGTCATACGCGGAACCTTTTGTTTTGCAATTTGCAACTTAATATTACCTCCAAGCATCGATCCTGCCACCTGCGAGCTAGCATCTCAAGAAGAGGCGGTCTAAATTTCTCCAGTCCCAACAGGTCAGGGAGCATAACACAATGCATAGCAGCTAGTTGACTCCATCCTGTTAACATATGTTAAAAACAGGCATAAAAAACACATAGGCAATTTTAACATCAAAAGGTCAAAATAAATGCATTTTATTTAAACGTATTCAAAATATTTTTGGATTTACTCTGGCCACTATTCTTGGGACATGCACTTTTTCCCTAAGGCTAAATTGCTTCTTAGGGAACAGTGTGGAAACTACTCTGAATGCAGACAGACCTCTCACTGACAAGATCAGTGTCTTAGTAAATAATATGCAATACTTTTTCCTGTAAGGCAGATATTTTTACATAAAGAACAATATTACTGTTGTCATGAAATAACAAACACACAGCTAAATCTCTGTTCTAAGCTAAATTCAGACGTTTGTCAATTGCAACAACTCACAAAATGTTATATAGTAGCAAGAAGTCACAAAAATCCAGGTTAAAAAAAAACAAATAGGACAAAACAAAACAAAAATTACACAGATGAGTTACTACTACAGATGTGAGGTATATTTAAACAGCAGTTAAAAGAATCTTTGCTGAGATCAAAAGAGGGCCGTGTGTCAGCTAAAAACATGGACATCTGTTTGTCGCTGTCATCTGAAGCAGAACAGAATTCTTTTCCCCTCTGTCATGGGAACCTATGGTTTAACCCTACATAGAACTTGACCCAGAGCCCATGAAAATTAAATGGGCATCTTTCCACACTTTTCAGTGGACACTGGATCAAGCCTCCACAGCACATAAGAGCCTCCAGTACCAACCACACAAATTGAATTGGCTCTCTAAGTCTCAGATCCTGCAAAGAAAACTAACTGGTCAGTTCCCTACACGCGTGTAGAGCCCCACTGACTTAGACTGGGAGTCTACCTGCCTGTGTCTCAGTGCACTCTGAGAATCAGGGTCTCAGTCATAATCTACATCGTGGTCTTGACTCAACAAAGTATTTAAAAACATGCTTTGAGACTTAAGAAAGTGCTTAAATTCATTACTGAATCAGGGACTATATAGAGAATAAATGCAAAAACAAACAAAAACAAAAAACAAAATCCATGAATTCATTCAACACTGAAGCTGACTTTTTAAAAAGCACCACCCTGAAATTCAAAGGAAGTGTAAGTCAGCTGGCTCGTATATACATTATAATTTGCATTACTTTAAATGGAGTTTAATGCTTTAATATTCAAGTGCAACATGTCCAGATTACAGTCATTAAGCATGTAAAGTGTCAGTAGTAATACTGCACATGTTTTTGTACTTAATTTCATTTTTAGTTTTTTAAAATATTATTTTAAACAACAAATAGAAAAGGTGCTAGTTTAAAGTGACCTACCACCACGTGAAAATAGAACATACATACAATTTAATATTTGCATGAAAGCTTGACCTGTTCATTTAAATCCTTATTTCAACATGTAATGCTTCAGACATATATTCATACCATAACACACTGAGGCATCACACCTTCTATGTTTTTTTAAAAAGCCAGTAAAAATAAGCATATCTAGCTTGTACAATATGGTATATTTTAGAATGTTTATAACTTATTCCATGTAAAATTTCTTGAATTGTAATCTTTATTGCAGAAAAAGACCCTCTCTCTTAACTGACTCAGTGGGTACTAAAAGTCAGTGGGGCTTTCCAGGGGCTCAGGAGTCCACCGTGAAAAGTGAATTTCTTGATCAGGGTCTTGATCTATGCCAAGTTGGATTTATTTATTTATTTTTAATTGTTTGTAAACTCTAAAAATTATTTGTGCATGGAAGGCATCTCAATATTTTCATTAACTATGCAAAGGCCTTTCCTTCATTCAAAGATACCACCAAAAAACGTACAAAAATAATTTCAAGCTTTCCTACAGAAAAATTAATTTCTGAACTAATAAAAAAAATCAAAAGAAATGTCATCTTTAAAAGGTAACTTTCTGATAGTTATTAGCACTTGAACACAGGAGCACAGAATGCAACTCCATCCTCAATGACTTTGTGACTAGCACAGCAGCACTTACAAGCACCTCCTAGCTATGGGGCTGAGTATTTTCAGTAATCTGTAAATTAATCATAAAAATTCCATTTCAGCTGACACTTCCTATAAAATTTCTCTATACAGAAGCGACATTTTAAAAACTGGATTTTCTCAGTCAAACAGACAAACAATTTAAATCCAGCTATTTTTAAATTACATGAATACAAAAAAGCAGAAAAGTTAAATGATAGTAAAAAATCTTTGTGTTTCTATTACTTCCAATCTTTTTGTTTTGTTTTTAAACAATATTTTAGGGCTTCAGTTCATAATGTAGATTGAGTAACACTGGTATTATAAAGAACATCTGTACTACTCAAGTTTAAGAAATTACAATATACTCATACTAATAGTTATTCTCAAGAATCTTTACTACGAATTTGATATTCCTATCATTGCATATCCTATCCTAAACTTATTCCTATCATAAACTTATCTGTTAAACATAATACTAAAGATATTTAAAAAAAATTAAAAATGGTTTCAAGCTCTAGAATTCAAAATACATATGTTGCCATAGTTGTGGCCATCCAAGGTGCTGAACTGGAGCTCCATTTATATATGTACGTGTGGCAAAATTCAATTTATATTTTTTAATAATTTCAATGGAACTATTTGTCTTAGGGCTGTCAAGTGATTAAAAAAATTAATTGTGCTGTTAAATAATAGTAGAATACCATTTATTTAAAGATTTTTGAATGTTTTCTACATTTTAAAATATATTGATTTCAATTACAACACAGAATACAAAGTATACAGTGCTCACTTCACATTATTATTTTTACTACAAATATTTGCACTGTAAAAAACAAAAGAAATAATATTTTTCAATTCACCTAATACAATTACTGTAGTGCAATCTCTTTATCATAAAAGTTGAACTTACAATTGTAGAATTATGTACACAAAAATAACTATATTCAAAAATAAAACAATGTAAAACTTTAGAGCCTGCAAGTCCACTCAGTCTTACTTCAGCCAATAGCTCAGACATACAAGTTTGGTTACAATTTGCAGGCGATAATGCTGCCAAGGTTCTTGTTTAAAATGTCACCTGAAAGTGAGAACAGGCGTTCGCATGGCACTGTTGTAGCCGGCGTCGCAAGATATTTACACACCAGATGCACTAAAGATTCATATGTCCCTTCATGCTTCAACCACCATTCCAGAGGACATGCGTCCATGCTGATGACGGGTTCTGCTCGATAACAATCCAAAGCAGAGTGGACCGATGCATGTTTATTTTCATCATCTGAGTCAGATGCCACCAGCAGAACGTTGATTTTCTTTTTTGGTAGTTTGGGTTCTGTAGTTTCTGCATCTGAGTGTTGCTCTTTTAAGACTTCTGAAAGCTTGCTCCACACCTCATCCCTCTCAGATTTTGGCAGGAACTTCAGATTCTTAAACCTTGGGTTGAGTGTGTATCTCTCTCACATTGGTACCATCTTTGCGTTTTGTCAAATCTGTGGTGAAAGTGTTCTTAAAATGAACAACATGCTGGGTCATCATCTGAGACGGCTATAACATGAAATATATGGCAGAATGCAAGTAAAACATAACAGGAAACATACAATTCTCCCCCAGGGAGTTCAGTCACAAATTTAATTAACACTTTTTTTTTTAAATGAGCATCATCAGCATGGAAGCATGTCCTCTGGAATACTGGCCGAAGCATGAAAGGGCATATGAATGTTTAGCATATCTGGCACGTAAATACCTTGCAATGCTGGCTACAAAAGTGCCATGCGAATGCCTGTTCTCACCTTCAGGTGACATTTTAAGTAAGAAAGAGGCAGCATTATCTCCCTTAAATGTAAACAAATTTGTTTGTCTTAGTGACTGGCTGAACAAGAAGTAGGACTGAGTGGATTTGTAGGCTCTAAAGTTTTACAGTGTTTTGTTTTTGAGTGAAGCTATGTAACAAAAAAATTCTACATTTGTAAGTTACACTTTCATGATAAAGAGTTTGCATTACAGTACTTGTATAAGGTGAATTGAAAAATACTATTTCTTTTGTTTATCACTTTACAGTGCAAATATTTGTAATCAAAAATAATAATATAAAATTAGCACTGTACCCTTTGTATTCGGTGTTGTAATATAAATCAATATATTTGAAAATGTAGACAAAAACCCAAAAATATTTTATAAATTTCAATTGGTAATCTATTATTTAGCAGTGTGATTAATTTTTTTAATCGCATGAGTTAACTGTGATTAATCGACAGCCCTAATTCGTTTATTTTAAGCATCCTTTTATTTTTTAAATTTTCAGAGTTGTGCAAAAGTATGGGTTTTAAGCATTTTTTCTTTCATTTTAAATTTTCACACTTGCGGGAACGTATTTGGGGAGGGGTCAGACAATAATTTTATGACTGTAGATGTTGAGATTCAAAAAAAGGTAAAAAGTGTTATAATTGTTAAAACACACATTGTTAACATGATATGTCAAAATATACAAAGTAAATAGCCTTAAATCAAACTCAAGTTCTCAAGCAGCATTTTCCTTACTTTGCCTATCTGTAAATTTTAATCATCACTGATGGAAAATTGTTCATCTTTTGTGAGTGTTCAGTGAAATCGATGTTTATCAACGTTTACTGATAAAAATCAAAACCTTGCAAGCCAAGATACAGGACAGGGAGAGGGGGCAGTTGGCATGGTGTTATCCTGTGAGGGCCCCTCAACTTTGGAACATGCTGCCCTTCCCAGTCCAACACAGTCCTAGTTTGTCAACCTCAAAGGCATAGGTTTTTTCCCCTAACTGAGATACATTGAAATGATTCTGTTTTCTAAATAAGGGAGGTTTCAAATGGAAATAATGTCTATAAACAATTCTCATAGATTTAAAGTAAACATGATTTACACAAAATTCAGGAAATATGAATTAAAACTAATCCTTGTCAACATTTTTACCCAATATTAATGATCAAAGTTAGAGACAAGTTTCATTTTGCATCTCTCCCAAAACAAATGAATATGCAGATTAAAAAGTCATGTCATAACAATGATAATGACATTAATTGTAAGTAAATGACGAGTAGATAGAAAATGTGGAGAGAATACCTTCATTTACTAAGAAACAGCTACGTAAAGTAGGAGCAGGGTCAGAGCCAGAGCGATCAGCTTCAGTGCTAGAAGAAACAGCAGGAGCAACTTGCAGAGGAAAGAAGAAGAAATTAAAAAAAAAAAGAAGAGAGAGAGAGAAAGAGAGGAAAATGAAGATAGACATTTCTGAAAAACTGATTAGTGTTACTGAAAAATGAAAAAGAAAAACTGAGACAAACTGTGACTATATCAACTATAAAATAAAAATATTCTAGGTTTTACCAGAAGTGTAACATCAGTGACAGAAAGACATGCAGTTGCAGAAAATACAAAGATACTAACATAAACTTGCTTATTTGGAATAGACAAGACTCATTGTAAATTAAGGGATTTCAAATTTGCTTTAAAATATAGCATGAATTCACAATATTACACAGCACATCAACTAAATGCAGCTAAAACTCAAATCATATCTGTGAAATTAAAAAAACACACCAAATATGACACTTTAAAAAGATTATTCCCAAAACTAAGCGATTTGCTATTTCCTACTACTAGTTACAAAAACTAGAAATAGATACTCCTAAAACAAGGCATCCCATCTAATCCATCGCTCTACCACTGAAGGAGTGCTTCCTACAATTCTAGTTTAGTCTAGTTTTAAATGTCTGAAACTATTAAAACCATTTTAAAATTACACTAAATAAAGCCCTATACAAATAAACTGTAGCAGAAAACCTACACCAACATATAAAGTGTGTACTATAATAAAGTAGAACTACACCTGTAGATAAGCAACTTTTAATGTAACATTGTACAAAACTGTAATTGCTAAATTAAAGTATTTCAGGCTTTGATATAGCCATTTTGTAAATTGCATAATCTCTTAGTGCAAAGGCAGTCCAAAACTAGTACTAAACATTATAGTCCCACTAATGCTCCATGACTCAAATTATCATATGAAAAGACAGGCAAATCTTATGTCACACACATTCTACAAGCAGAGGTCAATGTTAAGATTTAGAGGTCACTATTTGACACTTCCTTCCTATAGAGAAATTACCATATGTCATGCACAAGCATCTTCAAATTAATCCCTCTCCTTTATTCCATTGCAGAACAACAATAGGTTCAGGCTCCTGAACAGATTAACCATGGTCTTCTAAATGGTATGTTTGCTTTTCATGCAATGAACTTCTTTTGTCACTGTAAGGACATCTGCATCAAAACTACGTTTTTCCATAATTTCCATGCATCATGATGGCACGTGTAAAGTGAAAGGATAACTAGCATAAATTGCCAACCTTTTATTTTATCTAAAGAAAAATTAAATGTACTAGAAATGGTAAAACAATAAACCCTGAATTTGATTTATGAGAATAAAAAGTTTAGAGAGTTTTATAAAAAATAAACTGCCTGGTAATTTACTTGGGAAAGTATCTGTTCATTTTCTTAGGATAGCTTCCTCCAAATGTCACTATTTATATCAATCACTGTAACTGGAAGTTACAACAACTGGCTCAAATAGCCCAATGACATTGGACTCTAGTGTTCTCAGGGCAGATACTGGTCAAAGTGATGGAGATCAAACATGCCACAATGTGCACTAATTTCACTTCTACTAATTGATCTTTAAAAAAAAAAATAGCAAAAGAAATCAATGAGAAGACAAGATACTACAAATACCACATATAGGGATAAAGAGATAGGAAAATATTGACTTTAACCTACGAATACCACCTGGAACTGAAAGATACTAAATAGAAATGTGGAGAAAATCAGAATTCAGCTTCCCATAAACAAATATATAAATCTAATTTGGAGAAAATAGAGGTATAATAAGCATAAGTAAGTTTGTAACAAACACTACAAAATTTAAGTTGAAAATGACTATTTAAATAAGTGAACATGTCATGCTATACAGGGATTTGACACCAACGCATAATTTCATTTTTGTAGATTACATTCTAATATAATTCAGTTCCCAACTGATGTCTTTAAACATGTTATTTACCATCATAATTAGGACTGCCACTTGGATGAAAAATGACAGGTTTTTCATTCTGAAAAGGATAACACTCATACAAAATGTATGACTTCTTTACAATCTCTACTGAGCTCTCCCCAATATTAAAAACGGTCTTTATTTAAGAAAGAAGGAAAGTAAATGGGTGAAAAGGGGAAGATGTCTTGATCCAATAACATTCAATGGGCAACTAGTCTGGATCTTTTGTTACCATAATTTTGTCATTAGCTCCAGTTCTCCATCTCTTTCATCTCATCCCAACTTTGGCCCTGATCCTACAAACACATATTTTGAGTACATTTATGCATCCAAGTCCTGAAGCTAAACTGAGTTGAGCTCCTGTTATCTAATGAATGTACTAGCAAACATTAATGCTTAACAAAAGAATGAAGATTCACAAATGTTGCTGCCTAGCAAATTTCCTCTTCGAAAAAGAGCCCCTATCTTTTTGTGTCCAAGATGAGAATACCATCTTTTAGAGAAGAAATACAAATTATCCCTTGTGCCTAGTAGCTTTCCGAATGGTAAAGCAAATTCACAGCTTTTTTGATTGAGCTAGATTATAAATAAAGCAGCACAATGGCAAAAGAAATGGTTACTTACTGTAACTGTGGTTCTTCAAGATGTGATGCAGACGTGTATTGCACTGCACCTAGTGCACCAGAGCTGGAGAATTTTGTCTAACAGCAACTGTAGAGGGGCAGTGCTCACGCCTCTTGCTCTTAACCCCTCCCCTGGCTATATGGAGTGCCGCCCCACCCCGAATTTCTTTGCCCCCAAATTCCCAGAAACTAGACTCTGATGCAGAGGGGACGGATGGTGGATCATGGAATACATGTCTGCATCACATCTCGAAGAACCACAGTTACAGTCAGTAACAATTCATTCTTCTTCGAGTAGATGCAGCCATGTATTCCACTTGACTTACAAGCTGCCCACAGAAGGTGAGTCTAGGGGTCTATTTAAACAAGGCCTCCTTCCCAGTGTTTGCATCTGCTCTGAATGCTGTGGTAATGGCATAATGGTTTGTAAATGTATGTATCAACAACCATGTGGCAACCCTGCAAATGTCCAGTATCGAGACGTCACTTAAGAACACTACTGATGTAGCTTGTATCCTCACAGAATGAGCTTTCACCTGTTTCATATGCAGTCTTGATACAGGACGTTATCCACTTTGAGATCCTCTGTGAGGAAACTGCCTGTCACTTCAGAGGGTTTGTGTATGACACAAACAAACAAGGTGAAGCCCAAAAGGGTTTAGTCCTGTCAACATAAAAGGCCAGACATCGTCTGACATCCAAAGTGTGAAGATGCTGCTCCTCCAGAGACGAAAGGAGCATAGGAAAAAACACATGAAAATATACTCCTTGGTTTAAATGAATCTGAAAGAAAACTTAAGACACAAATTACAGCTGCATCATCACTTTCTTTTTGATGGCAGAGCCTCCTTACATGCAGTTCTCCAAAACTAGCAACACTCACACTCTCCTTGCAGATGTTATCACCACGAGGAATGCAGTTTTTTTTTGACATAAGAAAGGAAAGAGGCAGGATGCCAGAGGCCTGAACAGAAGTCTCATAGAGGCTGCTAAGAATGTGTTACGGTCCAACAAGGGAACCAGTTCCTGCACTGGCAGATGGAGGCACAGGATTCCTTTTAAGAATCTCACCACTATGGCACTGGAAAACACCAATCTTCCAGAAATGGGTGGATGAAAGGCTGAGATTGCTGCTACATGCACCCTCAACAAGTGAAACTCAAGGCCTGGTGGCTGAACATGCAGCAAATACTCCAAGACGTTTTGGCATAGTAGCCAGCAATGGCTGAACTCCAAAGACCAGTGACCACATTGAAAATGCATCCACTTTACCGAATAGGCCATTCTGGTAAAGGGTTTTCTACTACTGAGTAGGACCTGTCGAACAGCCACTGAACACTGCTCTTCTTCCTCATTCAACCGCGCAGCAGCCACGCCATGAGATACAGGGAGCTGAGCACGGGATGCAGAGTGCAACCATGATTCTGTATAAGCAGGTTGGGATGGAGAGGAAAGGATATGGGAGGCTGAATCAACAGTGCCAGAAGGTTGGAAAACCAGCACTGCCTCAGCCATGCCAGGGCAAGGAGGATGAGCTTTCAGCTGTAGTCCCTTGTGGCAAACAGATTGATCGCTGGATGCCCCATGCTGCAAAGATGACTCACAGAACACTGGGCTTCAGAGACCACTTGTGATTCAGGGAAAAATTCCTGGTGAGATGGTCCGCAATATGATTCTGGACCCCTGGGCAAGTGATCAACTATCAGAGAGTTACTCTAATCAATGCAGAATTGCCACAACCTGATCGCCTCTTGGCAGAGCATGCTGGAGTGTGCTCCTCTTTGCCTGTTCACACAATACATCACAGTGGTATTGTCGGTAAGTATGTGAACTTGATGTGGTCTAGGAAAGTGAGACAGGCATTGTTGATGGCCCAAAGCTCCAGGACATTGATATGCAGTGGAGCTTCCTACTCCGACCACAGGCCCTGAATCTTCAGCGACCCCAGATGCGCTCCCCAACCAATCACGGAGGTGTTGGCGAGAACAGTCCTCACTGGTAAGCACCGGATGAAGGGAATGCCTTGAGATACATTCCCTTGATCCTGGACTCCTTGCACTGGTGGACAATTCAATGAAGGAAGGTACAGGCCTGAGCAAAGGTGCACCTTTGTGAATTGAATCTCCTGAGTGCATGCAGACATATGGCCTAAGAACCTCAGGCATATGTGAACCTTCATGGAAGGCTGAGAATGCAGATGGAGACAAAGGCAGCAAATTGTCCAGAAAAAGTTGGTTAGCAGAAACACTTTCAAACTCGTAGAGTCTATTAGGGCCCCAGTGAACTTGATTTTCTGAGTGGGAACCAAAATTGACTTTCCGGTGTTTAGGATGAGACCCAGATGGTTGAGTTAGCGAAGTGTATGTGTAAGTGAGAAAGGACTTCTTCCCTGGACTGTCCCTGAGAAACCAGTCATCCAAATATGGGAAGATGTGGATTTCCTTTTTCCTGAGGTACGCTATCACCATGACCATACATTTGGTAAAAACCCAGGGGGCAGAAGACAGACCAAAGGGAAGGACTGTGTACTGAAAATGGCAGTGCACTATAACGAACTGGAGAAATGTCCTGGGGCTCAGGAGAATTGCCACATGGAAATAAGCATCCTGTAGGTCCAGAGAAGCAAACCAGTCATTCTGAGTCAAAGCGGGGAGGGCAGCTGATTGGGTAACCATGTGGACCCTCAGGTATCTGTTATATTTGTTGAGGTTGCGGAAGTCAAGCATAGGTCTTAACCCTCTCTTGGATTTGGAAATCAGGAAGTACCTGACACCGGTGTTCTGGAGGAACTTCCTCTACCACTCCCAAGACCAGCAAAGAGTTGAGCTGCTTGAGGAACAATATCTTTTGAGAAGGGTTCCTGACAAGGGTCAGGGAAGGAGGGGGGAAGTTTGGTCATCTTTTGTATGAAGCAGACCGTTAAATGTCATGTGACCACACTATGTTAATATCAGCACTTCATTATACTGATTAAAAAAATACATGGATCTTAATCATACACATTTTCATATGGAATATCATAGTATTTTCTTTTTACAGCTAGAAACCAATACAATGTTATCATCACTACAGAGTAGCTAGACCATTTCAGTCTAGAGCGAACATGTCATGTCAGTTATCTCACAGGCTTTAATTTTACCTTGTTTAATTTGCCCTTGAGCTGCATTACTGGAAGCGGGTGGGGGAGCCTTCATTTTAGACAAATCTGGGGTGCCTGGCCTAGGAGGTCTAAAAATAAAATGAGACAAAACATTCAAAGCTTATTCTCCAAAAGATATTTATTCTGATTTAAGGTGTCCCATTAAAAGAGTGTCCCATCAAAACACTTTAGTTGCTATTAAAATTAAGGCTTATTAGCAATTCACAGATAATCCTAATTTCTCACCAACTATAACTGAAATATTATCAGTATAATGTATTTAGAATTTGATAAACTATTTAAAAGTTATTGAGAAAACAATACAAATATGTGAGCCTAATTCTCACTCTCTTACAACCATTTTATGTGCTGTAACACCAATTAAGTCACACTGGTTTTAAAAAACCGGTAACATATAACATAATGGATACCCATATCATGTTCATCTAGTGTGGCTGTAATAGGTGTTCAATAGCACAAAGCTATAAAGAGTAACAGAATTAAATAAAACAAAAATATTGTTTTACAATAAAAAAAATCAAAAGGCAAACAGGTTATTACAAGATAAGTAAATACACTGAATCCTTTTCATACCTGATTGGACCCTTCTTCATATGGTCTCCAATAAACGTTGCATTAGTCATACTCATCAAAGTATTCGCCAAAGAGATAATAGACAGGAGATGCTGAGTAGTGACTGCACGTGATACTCCATATGTCCCCCTTCCTAGTCCCTCTGTAATGGACATTTTCCTTCCTACTTCCACACTACCGTATGATGGTTTGCCTATGGACTGGTTATATCCTGGAAGCATCAGAGACATGTGGCCTCCTCTAGATAGCAGACCAAAGGACACAGAACAGTGTGGTTTAAGCATGCCAAGGCGATCAAGACAAACATCATCTAGATCTTCATTCAAACCCCAGGCATGAAGACAGGACATAAAAAGCTTTGCTGTGTCCATGGTTAGATTATACTCTAACAGGGTTAATGGTTTAGATTTGCTGGAGCGATATTCTGGGTCACTGTCTTCTCTTCTCTGTCTCATTGATTCTTCATCCTCATCTTCATCATCAAGAAGATGTTCTTTTATGTTCTCTTTGATCGTTTCCTTGACTTGCTGGAAGAGCACTGCTGCTCGTTTGCCAGCCAGAAAAGACCCCCCCTTATCAGAACTGCCAGATGCTTTCTGTAAATTCTCTGGGGAAATGAGTGCAGTATTAGGCCTAGAGGCTTCTTCAGTCAGTAGCTGAATAATCAGAGCTTCTACATCAAAGAAGAGCACATGTATATCTGGATCTGTTAGGTTAGTCTTTATGGCTTGAACCATCAGAGAATTGTGTGAATATTTAGGCAAATTCCCCTGCAATTAAAAAAGAAAAAAGAAAAAGTACAGATTAAAATGAAAATAACATCTTCAGTTGATTAGTATTTTCAATCTTTCCACAAAGTTAGTTTATAAACATAAGCATCACAGGTAAGAAAAGTTTGAGAACTCATGAGATTTAAAATATGTAATGCAAGGGCCAATGGAAAACGTTATATGATTCCATTTAAGCCACCATACACAAGAGAGGAAACATAATAGCTTTGAAATATCATTGGGCGGGTTTTAGCTTAAATACATGCAAATTTTAGTTATATAACTTCATCAATGAAATACCAATCATTAGTTCACCAGTCACTTCTCATTGGTTCTTTAGATCATGAACCCTAAAAGATAACAGCTATTTTACAAATATAAAATAAACCCATATATTCTGGTCTATTAAATTCAAACCCAAACAAAAGAAAGAAAACCTTTGATATTTCAGACACTAATAAAATTTAAAAAAACCAAGGGGATAATCTAGCCTACTATGCCAATGTACGTGATCAGAAGCTGAAACAAAGTAAAATAGACATTCCTTAAGTTTCCATTTTTCTCCACTGTTCCACCCCTCTCCCCCAAAAAACAAACACTACTGATAGAGAAAAGCCAGCAGGGGTGTAAAGAAGAAAGGAATAAACAACACCAACATTGATTTCTAAGTACTATTAGAATTCTATTTTCTCCCTGTAACCAAAGTAAACATTAATTCCTGAGGAAAACACATTTATATATTTATATAGCACTCGAATACCTGCTACATCAGAAATGTGATAGTTTCCTTTTAAAATGTCATATATACACAAAGGGCAATTGCTAAGCTATTATTCTTGCTGCACAGTTTAAGCAATGGACTGCAATCTGTAAGGGTCTGAGGGGGGAAAAAATAAAAGGATTGATATGTGATCAATGTATAGCATTTCCAAAAACCCAAAATGTAGAAAAACTATGGGTGGAGAGCAGTGACTAGTTGAGTAATCAAATTAGGCGGGTTTTTTTGGTACTTGATTGCGGTCAGCTACGGTTTCTTTTTCTTCTGAAAATTCAGTCGTTTGTTATAATTTACAGAATTGTAAGATTTGAGGGGACATGTACCTGTATCTTTGCCTTCATGTTTAAAGTAACTGTCCACTGGGAATACAATGGTTATTTTTCATCATTTAAAATTAAATACCATTAACTTGTACAGGGCTGAGAACAGATAATAAAGTTACCTTTAGCACTTTTCAGAGTAGCAGCCATGTTAGTCTGTATTCGCAAAAAGAACAGGAGTACTTGTGGCACCTTAGAGACTAACAAATTTATTAGAGCATAAGCTTTCGTGGGCTACAGCCCACTTCGCAGTAGCCCACGAAAGCTTATGCTCTAATAAATTCGTTAGTCTCTAAGGTGCCAGGAGTACTAC